AATGCACTGGGTGTTCCTTTTAAAAACCCTTACCCCCGAAGGTCTTAATGTAGAGTTCGACCTGTTTAATTTTTTATAATTTTTTATAATTAATTTTTTATAATATATTTCTTATATTTTATTATCTTCTATAATTATTTTGTGCATGAAGTACATATTTATACAATGTGACTTATATACGTGACTGTTCTATTTAAATAATATGCAAGGTATTGTGAGTATAAAACCTTGTTTTTAATTTAAATTTTAGACTATCACATGTCTCCAATATAGGTTTGTATTCACTGATACATATAAAGTTTAGCACTTTTAAAAAAAAAAAAAAAATGGCCACCGATCATGTGACTGTTGTATCTAAATAGAATATGTAAGGTATTGTGAGTTTAAAACCTCGTTTTTAATTTTAAACTATCACATGTTTTACATATAGGTATGTACTCACTTACACATATAAAATTTAGCACTTTTGAGAAAAAAAAAAAAAATTATGACATCATTTTGGCGCCATTTTCTAATATGTTCACTGCCTATATAAACCTGTATGTAACAGGATGTACTTTCTGATCTCCACTTGATAAAGCCTAAGGGCGAAACGCGTTGTGGTTTTTTAAACTATATTGTTTTAAATAAAGGTATTTTGGCCACTTTCTTACTGTGAGTTAGCCATCTTACTTTTTATTACTATTATTATTTTACTTTTTTATTACTACCATCCTTTTATCCGGCACAGAAGTGTTTTTACTTTCCAGTGAGGATATTACTCCCAAGAATCCTAGGTGGGGATTATACCACTCAAGCTGTATTCATTGAACAGTCAGTCTGTTCAACTAAATATGGTCCCCTAATCAAGAAAGAATACTAAGACCTCACGTATCCCATAAGTGGGGATTATACCACTGTACGTTATCAACACTAGAGCTAAGTCCATAGCTCTTGAAAACGTGAGTAGGACCATATACTCTTTTATTGCTTCTACCCCTTTCGGGACATACTATACTATCAGTTGTTATTTTCTCATTTCATATGATGTACAAAGACGCATCTACACCACTCTGAAGAATCCCCCACTACAAAAGACTGTATTCACCTCTACAAGGATATACCTCGTTGTTTGATTCATCTACCAGTCAGACTATTTATTCTGGACTTCTATTTTGCTTAGTATCTATCATATATATTGTATTCTAGTCTGCCTATTCTGTGCTCTTTTAATTTATTTCATAGTTCACATTTCTTAACACCCTTCTTCCACCAACCATTTCGTAAGAGATCAACAGCCTTCGCTGTGGTCACAAAGACTTCTCCAATACGTAATGAGTATCCTGAGCAGGCAAGCATTGCACTTGTTGATCAAGATCTGTTATAAAGATTTATAAAGTTTTTAGTTGGAATGAAATTGTTTGAAATAGAATTATTTGTACATAATCAACGGAAATAACCTATCCACCTCTAATATGATTGCCAACATGATCGGAAGGGACAGTCCATGCATCATTGCTGCTAATGTAGGAATGTTCCATCCTAAACACCAAATGTGGTCATGCATATATTTATTGGTAACCCACAAATCTCGCTCCACAGAAATCATTTAATGACATCCACTTTCAGTCTTGCTAGCAACGTTCCTGACTGTGGAACATCTAGATCAGTCTCTTAAAATAACATTCCAGAGGTTAGCATGATCTCACCTTCAAATAAAGGAAAGCTTCTGGATTCATCATACCAAGATCTAAGAGAATCTTTATTTACTTGATATTAATTATCATTAGTAATTGCTCCTTTAGGTACACAGTATCTTACTTTACACATTAACGGGTGTCAGCAAACTAGGACCACAGCAGAAATTGTTAAGGTTAAACAGTGGGGTATTTCCCAAATTAGCTAAGGGATAACACCTGTTAACCACTTAAAAACAAAACACATGCACATGTTCAAACCACATGGTCCCTCAACAAAATATGGCCTCAATCTAAAGTTTGTAGATAAGATTTTCTAATGATAACAATCTGTTAAAAAAAAATTCCAAATGATTTATCGACCGAAGTCACCATTAAAGTGTATAGGAATTTGTGTGGATAAATCAATCACTTAAAAAGCTTGTGCAAGCCAATTAAATCAAGGCCTATGCCAAGAGAGAGTTACAAGTTGTGTAAATATAACAACGCACATAAGAGTTTTGGAACGTTTTATGATATGTGATATATGAAAAATGAGTAGGAGACTAAAAAAATATGCCGTGGTCACTGGTAAAAAATTGCCAGCACGGCAGGAGAATTTTCTGAAGCTTTCTTAAAATACATAATTAAAAAACAAAATAAAAAACTGTAATTGAGCACATCCAGTATACAGTGAATATATAACGACGCTAGCTAAATCACACACATTACTGGCAGTTCCTAAATAAATGTATCATATGACACGATCTACACGTTTTCTTTAATTTATCCAGGATCACAGAGAATAAGAGAGCACAAAATATTAAAATAATAATTAGAATAAAAGAGCATAAAATATTAAAATAATAACTTAAATAAAATGATGAGGATGTCTGCTCCCATCCACTGCTGTAGAAGAAGCTACAGAGCCCAGGCAATTGAAGGAAATACCGGATTATTGTATATATTATATATATATATATATATAAATATATATATATATATATATATATATATATATATGTGTTTGTGTGTGTGTAGTCTTATGTAGAGCATATGTCAAAAGCAGCCTGCAGTTCCTCTTTACAGTATAGACAATACACATTCTTCCAAACTATGGCACCATAATGCAAAGCTTACATTATTAAAGGCACGTTAAGTAGTTGATTGCTCCAGAATTTAACAGATTAATCTGCTCGTAAAGGTCGCTGGAGCTTTTTATTTCAATAGTAATTTGTGACAAGTCGCTGTGAAGTCACTCCTGTTTTGTATTTGTTTGTAATGTAGGTGTGATGTAGCCCCCATCATTCACCCAGATGGGATTTTATTACGACAAATCAAGCACCCTAAGGCTAGAAGGACAGACTGCACCTTTTTTCCCCTGAAGACTTTTTACAAAAGAAAGAGTGAGCATTCTGTTGTAAGAGGAGGGGGGCTCTGTAAAATATTCCTTTTTATTAGGGTATTGTGAATGGATTGTACTCCAGCCCTAGGTTCTGCTATGACACTCTGAAGTTTGGAAAAGTACTGTCACTTAGTTGCCAATTCATGCACCTGGATTTGGAGTTTTTGTTCGCGGATAATAAAAGCTTTAATGGCTGTGCCTTGATCTTTGCTAACTGTTCTTTGATGGGTTAGCACTGAGCTGCCAATTACATTTTTTTGACACTTTACAGTCTGAAAACAATAGAGACTGTATGGTAGTCTTTTGTTGGTGAAGTTCAGCTTCCCAACATTACGCCAGGTCATCGCATGGGCTAAAAAGCAATGCTACTTTAATTAACTGTTTGAATGCCAAAGATCAATGCCCTTTTAATTTGCTTAGCATTAAAAAACAAAAACAAAAAAAACCCCGTAAACTAAAAACAAAAATAAATAAATCATATTCTTCGCGCAAAAAGCACATACTCAACTTTTGTGAGATTCTGTGCTTTTTGTGATCACTTCTGAATTGGATTGTAAACGTGGATGTGGGAACAGATGGTGGTGCCAATTTATTGTGCATATTGATACATTTTTATTTACTGTTAAAAAAATGTATTTCTACATCAAAGCATATAACGTTATTTCACAATTACAAATCAATTTTACTTTTTCTAGAAACAGAAGGAAAAATGTTACTTCAAAGTGGCATATCTATCATTTTCAATTATATGATACGGAAAAAACATAACAGAAAACAGTTAACATAAAAGCAGAAAGATTTTCTTTACAAACATAATGCATTTGACATTAGATTACAAAACACCACTTGTGCAACATTATTCTAGTTTGAGGTTTGGGTGCAAACCAATGGCCACTTTGATAAAAAATATGTGCAATGGTTACAAACACTAATTTAGGATTCCATGTTTGTGTTTAACTGACTTGCCAACAAAAATAGTTAGATGCATTAACAAAACAAAAAAACACATACCGGTCGGTATACACCGATTTGGGAGAGAATGAGTTATTTATACTAATCTACATCCATCGACCTATGAATGGAACCCATTAAGCACATGTTTGGCTACGGGAATTCCATAATATCCTTAGGCTTAGGAGAATAAATGGACTACCAATAAATTCTAGTCTAGTGGAGGAATCTGAGGACATGGTTGAAGAACTATACCGTAGGCCACCGATGTACCTAAAAAAAATAGGTTAATAAAAATAAAAATCTAAAAAAATCAAAATTTTTTTTGAAACAATGAAATTCATTATACAGATTTTGAAATGGATTACATGAATGGAAGGTAGATATACAAACCTGAAGTTAAGACGTGTTCTCTCGGCTTCATTACTGGTGTTCAGTTTCAGGAAGCTGAAGCCGCCAGGGGCTGCGTTAACGTAGACAGACGCAAAACGTGTCTCCATGGGAGATCCTGCAAGACTGCAGGTTCCCCCACAGATGATCTCGCTCACGACCAATTAAATGCCATAGGGACCCATCATGCATTGCATCACAAAAAAACAACGTAGCATGCAGTAGGTGACTGGAGTTCCCCTTTTGCCATATTTAACGAATTGTGATTTCCATAAAATAAGGTGTAACTACTCTAATCAAGTTACAATTTCAGTGAAATGCCAACATTGCCTACATGAGTTTTTAGTAAACAGACAGTGATTAAGAAGACACAGTAAGTATTGCAGTATTTAATTACCACTCAACAGAATAGACAATAAACAAAAGCAAAACAAAGACCACTATAGAAATGAATGAACTGAGACACGTAAGCTACTAACTAGTTGGCTGATGAATACTTCATTGTAAAATATTTACATAAGACAATATATTTTCAGCTGACACTCTCAGCCAATCACTGGCAGTCAATTGCAAATAACAGTACATATTGTACTTGCAATAACCGGCCGGTGATTGGTGGAAACTGTCATCTAATGCTCTTATTGTGGCCCAATGCTTCTCAATGATTCCGTTCTCTTCTCAGTATGGTGGACAAGCAAAGAAGGGGCAGTAAAACCATTGAAAATCATTTTAATAACGTAAAGTAAGACTTTACCCAGAGACTCCATTAAGACCTAATTGAGATGAGTACTTTAAATGTTCAGTGTTTGGGGTTAAGGGAAGTGTGCGTTACTGTAATAGCACTACTGGGACATACATGTTACAATGCTGCCTGAGATTAGTGGAAATTACAGACCTGGGCGGCAGCTATTTCAGCTGCTGTCATGAAATTTGTAGCAGGTGCAGCTTGGGACATTAACGTGCATTAATCTGACAGGGGCATGTATGTCCTGGGCTCATAGTTTAGATGCAGGTAATTTGAGCATTATGAAATGTTAATTACGCAAAATAATTGCATTGAGGATGTCACCATCTACGCAGTACAAGATTGGAAAACATGAAAAAGTCTTTTCAGAGAAAATGCAGTGTTTACATTACAGCGTAGTGATAACTTCACTTTCCACTTCTCAGATGGCTGTTAGAGATCCTTCCTGGGTCATTGCTGCCTAAAATGCATCCAAACATTCAGTATCTCCTCCCTCTGCCTGCAGACACTGAACTTTCCTCATAGAGATTAATTGATTCAATGTATTTCTATGAGGAGATGCTGATTGGCCAGGGCTGTGTTTGAATCATGCTGGCTCTGCCCCTGATCTGCCTCCTTGTCAGTCTCAGCCAATCCTCTGGGGAAGCACTGTGATTGGATCAGGCTACCACTTCTGATGATGTCAGCAGGCTGCTTGTTTTTCTGAGGCAAACAGCATGCAGAGTTGCAGCTTCTGGCTTCAATACAGTTAGATTTTTACTATATTTATAGAGGCATGAGGGGCCCAGGGGGGTTAGATGGTGGTTTTACCACTATAGGGTTTGTGTTCCTGACCCTATAGTGATCCTTTAATATTCATTTTATAGGAGACAACTAGTGCCAGAGGTAGGCACCATTCTGCACTCCAGATGTTATGGACTACATCCCATAATTTTCTTACAGTCATAATGCTGGCAAAGCATCAGGGGAGATGTCGTCCAGAACATCTGGAGAGTCAAAGGTTGCTTACCGCTGATATAAGTCCTTCCTTTAAATGTTAATAAGATCGACAAACTCTGCTTAGAACAATAACTCAAGCTTACAATTCATTGATTAAAATAGGTTACAAAAGAAATATATTTTATTATTCACAGCACACAATGATTTCCCAGATATATACAGATGGCAGTAATTATACATATTTTGCAGCATATAACAATTATTAAATAGTGCATGTTATATGCGGCTTCTTCAGCATCTTAACCCTTTCAGAGCGAGTGCATCACTTGTTTAAAAGAGGCTCTGTCATCATAATACAGCATTATAAAAAAATAGACTTCGTACTTCATGTCTATACTTTTAAAATAAATAAATAATAAAAATGGAGAATCGTCAGAGACGTTAAAGAACCATTTTGTGCACCAAGAAATAGCGGGAGTTAATCTACAAATCACAAGCCAATAGGCTGCGGCTATAACATGATCCCTGCAGCCTTTCTTAAAAAGCAACAGTCCATATTTTAAAATGATGGCCTTGTTAAATTAGAATAATCTATTTGCATTATTATTTTACATATATTTATGGAAATAAAATGATTTTAGTCTATGAGCATTGTTGTTTTGAACCGATATATGAAAAGGCAGCTTCAGGTAACAACGGCGACTTAATCCCAACAAGATTATTAATTAAATAGTTATTCGTCAGGAATGAAAATTGATTTGAATTAAACAGCTGAATGTGACATACGTTTCCAATCTGGCTGTTTTGGACTCAAATTTGAAATTAACTTTGAATTCCCGACAAGTAATTAACCTGTAAAAATACATTTTCTCTGTTTAACAAAATGGCTGAAAGAAGACTCTCTTGAAAATAATTTCCTGTTCTCAAAATGATGGTGACCTTTCGATGTAATGTCACAGATCTAGTGCCGAGGTGTGAGCAACATAGTGAATATTGTATAATAATATATGTATTGAAGGATAACCAGCAATGTGTTAGGTCTTACAATCTGAACTCCTGTAATGGCTGCTTTAAATCTGGTGCGTACAAAATGTTAAAATGATTAACGCTATTAGTGATCTGGTGTTTTATAACCAGAACTTTCTTTACTGGAAAGACATTTTTCCTTTCATGTCAAATGAACAAGTATTTTAGAAATAATACGTAAAAGCTCATTTAATCGAAACTGTTTTTCTTCCACTTTCCTTTAGGGGGATAATTTGTACGTTTACCAGTCTCTTTCTCGTGGTTCTCTGAATGGAAGATCGAGCAGCTGAAACACATCCTTCTCCGTGGGAGTTGGCAGGGGATAACCATTGTTGACTTTTATGCTCCCATTGCGCACCACATCCTTGTTGAGGGAGTGCTCTGATAGGCTCATTCCCTTGGTTTTCGCCAGTGCACGCATTGAGCGATTAAAGTGTGCGGAGCCTGTGAAATACATCAATGCACAAGCAAACTCTCCATAAGGGACGACAATAATGTCAAGCCTCCTGTGTCTCTGTCCTGGTCCCGGCAGACAACAAACCCCCAAATATTTCTTTTGCTGGCCATTCTCTTCATTACTCACCAAATCATCTGTAAGAAACCCTAAAAAAGAAAATTAGAATAGTATCACAGGGGTGAATAGTCCAGGGACTGCAAATTACTAGGATTCAATGCACGAGGAAAGGTATAATCCAGGCAAAAATGTTAATGCATGAATTTTAAATCCATTTTGAATCATGTCCATTATTTCATGGTATTGTTGTATCGGTTTTCTCTAGCTTCTCTTCATATGACACAACACCTAAATCTGTAAAGTTATCTTCCATACCGTCAGCAGAAACCTGATCCTAGAAGGGCTCAAAACTGAATTGGGAGAAACTATGGAAGTCCTTCTGATAGCTGAACATGAAAACACATCCTGTTGGTCAATGAGCACTGTGACCCTGTTCCTGCTCACTTGGTGAGCCACTGATGCCATAAGGAAGTGTAGTGATTCTAGAATCCTGGGCAGTGAATGGGCATGCACTCCTGGTCTGTATTTACTATAATGAAGAACTTTGCCGCGAGCAGTCCAGGGCCACAGAAAAGATGGAGGTATGGGTGGGCACATTGCTCAATGTTTTGTGTGCATGATCTATATTTAAAAGAACGTTAAACAATGTCTTACCTTGCAACTTAAGACCCTCAATAAGTTTACTGAATATTCCTTTATGGGATTTTCCATCAGGGTGAGTAACTAAAACATCCACATCTCCGCAAGTCTGTTTTCCTCTGCGATAAGAGCCACATGCCACAGAAATAAGCCCACTGTTTATATTGTGTGCCACGTTTCGTACCTGTGATAAAGAAAAGAATGTTTTAAAAGAATTTACAGAGAAACTCCAGGCTGAAAGTTACCCACATTCTACAATCCTAAAAATATATTTTCATAAGATAAAATATGGCATACCCTTAAGATTTGTTAAACTACTGCACATGAACAAGCTGCAGCAGCAGATAGCGCCCTCCCAAACAAGGAAGAGACTCCGCCAATCAGAATTTCCGATATACTGACCTACTTCCATACACCACGGTCAATCCAAGAACGTGCAGTCCAGCCCCTGCATATGATCCATTCACCACACAGGTAACTGCTGAATGTGTTGTAAGCAGCCATACGGGCATATGGGGGGTTTTGTGACATAGGAGGAAGAAGGGGCAGTCATACAGTTGCAGCACTTTTTGGCAGCTATACACGGGTAGGCGGGGCTAGAGGACCTCTTGCACCTTGACTTATGCAATGAGGTTGTTATGGTGCTTAATGTGTCCTTTCAGTAATTAATATATAGAAGCATGCAAACCATCTTTAAGACGCAGTGTTGTTTTATTCATAATCTTACCTCAAAGACAAACTGAAAGCTTTCAAAGTGAATTTCACATTGAAAGGGTTACTATAACCCGTTTGAGAAAAGGACCTATCAGGCATAATATGCCCTATTGGGCATTGTGAAGAAGAATCGCCCCATAGAGAAGCCCATGATTGGACCAATTCTTGAGCTCAAAGCGCATTGGAGTGGGGAGGTGGGAAGGTTTATTTAAATAAAAAAAAATTAAAAAGCAACTGAGGGAGGTGGAAGGGAGCACCCACACAGAGGGAAGGAACAACATACGTAATACCAAAAGGTGTGCCCCCAAATCCCTTTTTAATCTTTACTATACAAGTTTATAGTACAGACCAGATTCCTTTCGGATTGAAGAGATTTCGAATAGTAATGTCACTTAAATTGTAATTTTCATTTGTATAGAGCAGATATATGATATGCATTGTGAGCATAGACATCAAAGCACTATCATTTTAATTGTTTAGTTCTGACACTCTTTTAAATTGTGTTTTTTATCACATTCGTTTTGCATTATATATATTTGCAATGCTCTTACAGCAGATAAATTAAAATACACTTTACCTTATTTAGCACTAGCACTATTTAATTTGTCTCCCACATTGGAATTAGTGCAGGACCCACCGGTATTGGGGTACTGTGAAGTAGTGGTGGACTTAACACAATATGGTCGTGTGGTGGAGCTGAGTCCCCATCTTTGTTTGCAGAGATAGGTGATTTTAAGTAGAATTGGAAAATTTTAAACTATATTTGTGTGTGTTTAGGGCTGTCTAAGTCACGTATGCTGGAGGAGCAACTAGCTTGCAGCACACAATTAAGAAAATCTCTGTATATACGGACCCGTACCACCATGAGCACATCAAAACACTGAAGTGGTTATGGTGGTTGGAGTAACCCGAAAGTAAAAAGAGTCAAACTCGAAATATTCTCTAAGCCAGCTACGTTTTGGCTACTCTGGCCTTAAATTTGAATTCTCACTTGAGTAACCATGAGAGAAGTGAGAAAAAAATATTAAATTAATTTTAAAGCCACAGGATTTTTTTTTTTAATATATATATAAAACAATTACCAGATGCTTGGCACTCCTCCCAAATTCATGGATGGATGGATCTTGATAAAGACCCGAACGGGTCGAAACTTTAATTTTTTTTGCAGTTATTTAATGGAAATTCAATAAATACTTTTTTACACAGATTCCAGACCTGGAGTGCTCCCTACTATTATTATTTATATAAATATGGAAAAATCTTGCACTCTACCTTAATATAATGAATCTCCAAACGACTACGGTGCTGCACAGTGTAGCGATTATACAAGAGATGAAAGAATGAGAGCACTCAATGGATTTTCCAAAAAAAGCAGATTATATTGTGTCAAAAAATGAACCAAGATATCTTGATAAAGACCTGCGGGTCGAAACGTTGATTTCTTCATTTTTTGACACAATATAATCTACTTTTTTGGAAAATCCATTGAGTGCTCTCATTCTTTCATCTCTTG